GCGTATGCCTGTCCATAGACTACCTTTCCGTGCTCTCTTCGCACGTGCCGGGCAAGGCTGGAAAAAGCGGCGCGGCGGTCGGCCCATGACATGGCGTTGAGGCATGAAGAAGTTGGCCTCCGCTTTGACTTTGGTTGGTGCAGCCCATCTTCCAGGTTGGGACCCAAGGGATGAGGATTGTCGTTGGTTAGAGACGCTGAGACATATGTCCCAGAATCGCAGTCAGTGGCGCGAATGCTGTACGGTCGGAGAATCGATCCAAATAGTTCGAAAGAATTACGACGACTAGATTATGGTATTGTTTGAAGATAGGGTACACCTGTTTTCAAACAATACCATAATCTAGTCGTCGCGGGTCTGATGCAGGTTGTCTCTCCAAGTAAAGCAACTCAGTGCATTGATTATTGTGAGTTAGCTGGTCCTGGTGAATATGGGGCTTGTTTCTCTATTAATCACTCAAGAACTTGTAAGAAAAAAAACATACAAAACCAAATAAGGCAAAAACTAAGTTTACCTCTTGGCATTCGGCGATTAGCCGCCCAACCCCCCAACGGATTCGGACGTTGTCCTCACTTTGTCTTTCATGTGGATGAATGATACGACCCTGAATGAAAATAAAAGATGAATTTTCCATCTTCAAAATTATGAAATCAAACAGATATCGATCATATGAACCAGTATGAGAAGGCGAAGTGCTACCGCAGTACAAAACAATGAATATGAGGAGTCTCAGAAAACGGGGAACGGTCACCAGCATCATCATCGTACAGCGAAATACAGTGAAGCGGACTTCGCTGACCGCTACCAGACCCGCGATGAAAACAAAGTTAGTGGTAATATGTGCGACGAACAAGGATTGGACCTACTTTGAGGCAGAGGGAATAAAGTTATTCTCTATGGTTAACACAAAGTACACCATCTAACTCTGCATGCACACCTTTCCAAGCATTCTGGCCTGATAAGAAATGATAACAAGAACGCCACTGCTGTCGGTTCGCTGCATATCTGTCGATGTCTGCCGCCAGACAGTTGCAGTCTTTTGGACCTCAACCTGCAAGGCGCGAGACACCCACTCTCACTCATAGTAATAACAACAATAATGATAGGAGGAGGAACGGTAGGAAATATTTGTTATAGTTGCGAATCAGTCGTGTGTTTCATTTATTCTGATATTAGTGATTTGCTTTCGTCCATCCTACAAGTCTAGCGTGTGAGGAATGATGGACTGTAGGCATCGGTTGACATGAGTGAAGTACGGTATCATCCTGAGTGAGGTGTCGCAAACAGTGGCGCCCGTGCATCCACTCATTATTCCCCTAACACTTCTATATGAATTCTCCATCTTTCGCTTGAATTTGCTCTCAACATTCCTAACTTCTTTCTGCTCTTTTATCCAAATGGGGCACCAAAAGACAGCAACCAAAACCGGTGCACTAATGTGCATGGTTAATGGTTGTAAAAACTGAACGGAACGGAACCATCGGACGCTTGTATTAAACGACATGAAGAAACCATATAAGAAGATAGAAGTCGTGGTCAATCAAAAACAGTCTGGTCGCATGCGTGTCTGTTATGTAGAAGCCTTTCAAGAAGCTACTCCTTCAATTAATGTCATATCAACTGAACGTGCAGGACCCAAACCAATTTTCTGCTCTTTCCAAACCGGATGCCTTGGCTTTTTTGATTCACTATAATCTATCAGCGCTGTGCGGAAACGAAGAATCTGTCAACATGTTTTTTGGCTGGCAACAACTTTGCCTACCCGCGGTCATCAACATTATCGTGTAACCAGATCTTCTGTATACGGATAGCGAATACTTCCGAATATTGCATACGGTGACTAAGGTCAGATGTCTGGTGGTTTTCCGAGTGCTGAACAAACGCTGTTGCTAATAATGACTGTGTTAATCACAAACTATCGGAAATCGTTCAGTTCCACCGATACTTTGGACGAATCCTAACTTCCTTAATCTCTACTTTAGGAGTACTCCAGACTGCCATTCTACCCCCATTTTGCTTTTCCATACACATTTCATCGATATCTATTCACCAAAATTTCATTGTTTATTAAATAAGTAGACGATTTTGTTAAGATTGACCTTCTCTGATGCTTCTGTTACTTGTATCCTTTAACTTGATATTTGCAAACCTCGTTGACTGGACAACTGCACACAGCTTAACTCTTAATCCCTCTAGATGTGTAGATAGATTGTTCTCTCTTCTCAAAGGGAACCGTTACGCTAATATTTTAGAATCCTGTCCCACAGTAAATATACAGAGTGACACCATCACCCAACCCACAAATGTCAGATACCTCGGTGTGTTAATTTACCACTATTTGTTAGTCACTCCAAGCTACTTTTGTTTAGAAAGGTCCGAAAAGAAATCATTTCTTGACCTACGTCTGAAAATCATATCCGTCGATCACTTCCTGATTCACTGTCTTCTTTTTGATTGCATTTTTCTCCTTTGATTGTATGGGTTCCGTGTATTCTTCCCGGGGATGCTTAAAGATTCCAAGCTACTCTCCAGATCCTTAGCATATTTATGTAGAAGTAGTGGGATATTCCGTGAAATTCTCTGTCACTTCATTGTTTCACAACATACAAACTCATGTCGCTCGTTATCCTCAAAGCTAATGAATAGACTGCAGTGTGCCCGATTGTACGGTGAAAGCCGGACAATAACAGATATTTGTCGGATACCACTTATCTTCCATAATCTAAATGTATGTTCACATTTTTACTTCAGTACCAACGCTATGTGACTTTTGTTTTACGCGATCGCTAACAGATGTATCCTTCCGTGAGAGAACTTTCACTTTTGGCTTTCGATCGTTTGCACTTTATAGCGCTCGTTGATTTTCGTTATCTTCGTGCGGTAACGCAAATCCTCGTTACCCAAGTACCGGTACGTTCCCTGTGCCACGGTACCTAAATACACATCTACGACAACCACAAGTCTTCTGGTTTAACCAGTGGTAAGTTGGTTGTTTGCGAGCCCAGGGTCCCGTTCTGAAGTTCGTCACGATCGGCCGTAGTCGACGTTCTTCAAACACTTCGCATTCACTACACGCCGATCCGATAATGTGCCCTTCTCTTCTATCTGATACCACTATAACTTTTTATTTGCCCGCAGCAATGCCCATCGCTCTTCTGTGGTGCCTAATCTTGCACGATTTCTAGAAAACCCGGAACACATCGCTTCTGAACTTAACTCAAATAGTACGTCATCATTAGTTTTGTCTTTGCTTTCTGCAATTCTGGTGTAACTGTACTTTTTAATTGGTTTTACTTTGTCTATATAGCTGCAGAATGTTTACCTTCCTGCGTTCATAAAGCATATGCTTGACTTCACTAATTAGGACATAACACCTAGTTGCGTTCACTCGGTTTGTCTGTCATTCCAAGGCATCATACTTCGAACATTTAATCATCTTTGTCCCAGGAATGGCACAGCTGCGGAACATTCTCAATTTTGTTTTCTCTTAACTCATAAGTAGAGGGTCCAAGGGGTGAGAATTGCCGTCGATTAGGCTCTACGGCTCGAAACATAAATCAGTGGTGTTGTACAGTCTGTCAGTTGAAATTTCATGTCCTACAAACGACAAAATACAGACAGAAAATATCAAAAGCTGCACAGGGAAGACAAAACAAAAAATTGCTGCTTTTCCTAAGCTATTTACCTCAATACCATCTGTACACTAAACTTATTGCAGGAAATAGAAGGATTACCATTTACTGCTATTCGTGATAGCAAAATGAAAATGATTTTCCAATTCACACTTCGTGGTTATATGTATTCCACAATCAGTGTGACTGTCCTAAACACGGATAGTGTGCTGAGTATATCACAAACAGCTCAAAGTTATCAGAGGGTTTTTAGTTACCAAAGCATAATCGAAGAAGTTTTGATAGAGAATCAAAGTGGCAGTTGGGACCCAAGTGGAAGATGTATGTATCTCTTGTCACCATGAATATGATTACATCGGTGATGATAGAAATCATGTTTTTTTTCATCCGACGCGTTCATAAATAGAGCTTCTTCAGAAGCGTAGAAGTGGTGCACAAAATTGGTATGGCAAATCCGCAAACGGTGCTTACCTGTGGATACACATGTATCCATTTACCACGATTCAAAAGGTCTAAGCAGAAGGTCATACTTGGTTGATAGACTCCACCTCCGGGATGTATGATTTTTTTGGTTTGTGGGTTACGAACACGACGCCACACAGGTATGCCATGACCCCAAGTGAAAAAGAACGAATCTCTAGCGTTGGTAAAACACACATCAACGGCAGTCAGTGACCATCTATATCGATCAACTGAATATCAAAATAAGTTATAAGCGCGCTTTACCGTGCATCAAATCAATGAGTGACAGAAGTGTTCCGAACAAAATGAAATCATCTAAGCATGAATGATGGTTGCTTATGGTAATCAAAGGGGTTCGCGATGGGCGAGCTTTATAAGCTTCCATTAATCGATCTTTCCCAATAACTTTCAAATTATGTCGCCAAACAGCTAGCTTCACAACAGCACCAAGAATCGGATAAGTGATCGGTTGAAAAACTAGTCGCAGAAACTTTCCCATTAAGGAATGATTGTTTAGTTTAAAAACAAGATCCATTCCAAAACGAATGAAGATCCTATGCCAAAAAGACAACAATATTTATCGGTCTCATATGCAAAGTGAAGCAATACATCTGAAAATGAAGAAAATCGTTCGTAAGCATCAGAATACAATGGAATAAGCATAGCAGCACAGAATGCGAAACCCTTCAGTATAACAAAAGAATTCATAACTAATCATGTACGTATACATACTTTACTTTACTTTACTACGGCTGGCTCCTTGGAAAGAATAAGCCGGCTCCATGAATGTCTCTGATGGCCACTATTCATGCTTGGCAGTTGGGTGCAAGATCCTTGCAAATGTTGATCCAGTTTGTTTCTCATCGCCGAGTGCCGTACACCATCCGAAGGCCAAGTTGGTCGACGTCTTCGAATAGTTTCCAGCCAGGTTTTTACTTGTCCCCCTTGTCGGCGGCGCCAGCCAGGACCTGGTGTCGGAGCCAAGACAATACTCGTAAAAGTGTCGTCGGGTCTGCGGAGAATATGGCCCAGCCATGGCAGTCAGCGGCATTGTATGTGTGTTGAGAGACGGGCAATGTGCCATCGATTTCTGAGGTCCGCGTTTGAGACCCTGTCCCGCCAGTTTACTTTCAGGATGAATCGAAGACACCAGTGATTGAAGACCTCCAATCGTTGGATGTCCTCAGATCTCAGCGACCAGGTTTCGCAGCTGTATGGTAGGACTGGCCGAACTGCTGTGGCAAACACTCTGAGCTTGGTTTTGAGGCTGATCTCGTTTGGGTGTTATACGGTGCTTCGGAGTTGCAGAAACGCCGTTCGGGCCGTGTCGATGCGCCGCTTTACATCATCTTTGTTTGTCCATTGGGCAGGATGGTGGACCCAAGGTACTTGAAGTCCGATACGATTTATAATGTCCGACCATCCAGTTGCATAGGATGTTTTGTTTGATCAGGTGGAGTAGCGAACATCTTGGTTTTGTTAGGATTAATCTCAAGACCGATCTCAGAGGAAAAACTTTTGATACGGTTGAGAGCTGTTTGCGAGACCGTCAGGTCCTCTCCAAGCACTACCACGCCATCGGCGAATTCGAGGTCAGTAATCCAGCAATCCGTGGAAACTTGGACGTCCTGGTTACCCTCCGTTGCCCGACGCAGAATCCAATCAACGGCGAAGTTGAACAACACTGGAGATAGCGAGCATTCTTGTCTTACTTCTGATCTCAGATCAAAGGGATGAGACTCTTCGCCGTAGGCACGGATACGGACTTTGGTTTGTTCAGTTCAGTTTCAGTTTGCACAACTATTAACCATGCACTATCGTGCGCCGGTTTTGGTTGCTACCCATTTGGATGACCAACTTTGCAGGGACGCCATCTGCAAGCTTTATCTTCCACAGTGACTCGCGGTCCACTGAATCGAATGCGACGCAAAAGTCAATGAAACATGTAGCGGTGGGGAGCTGAAACTTGTATCGGTGTTCCAGAATTCGCCTTAGGATGAAAATCCGACCGATACATCCTTTGCCGGGTTGGAAGCCTCCTTGGTTTGGCCGCGTACGTGCATGCCTCACTGTGGCAAATCGATTAAGCACAAGCTGAACGAACGCTTTTGCAGCCATGTCTAGCAGACTGATGCCGCGATAATTCCTGTATTGTCGCCTTTCTTGGGGAATGGAAGAAAAATCGAGGTGTTCCAATCACTTAAACATATTTCGGTCTCCCAAGTAGAGCGAAGGAGAGAATGAAGCGGTTTGATGACTACTGGAAGGCATTTATTATATATATCTGCCGGGATTCCGTCTTCACCAGGGGCCTTGTCAGTATTCAGGTGACCGATCACTCCGGCTATTTCCTCTACCGTTGAAGGATCACAGTCGACCTCGTATAGGGACGCCATAAAGGGATGAATATCCGCCGAAGTGCCTAGCGGATGACTGAGAAGTCGACTAAAATTTTCTACCCATCTGATCATTCTACCGTCAATATCGGAGATCAGTCCCCCCGGAGGAGTCGTGCAGAACGGGTTGTAAAGATTGCCTTCTACCGGACGCTGATATTAGGAGGCAAAAGAGATCTCCGAAGTGACATGCACTGGCTGCGGTTTCCGCGCCAATCTGCTTTTGCGGAGCGGATTGCTTCCTGTCTGAGTCGCTGGTAATCGTAGTGGCCAGCTAGACGGGTGTTCCTGGACAGGGTTGAGCGACGGATGGTTTCTTCTCATATCCGATCTTTGTAGCAGGGTTTCGTGGTACCAAGTTTGTTTAGTGCAGCTTGTTGTACTGCAACTTTTATCCTGGACCACTGCACACCAGTGGAGTCTGCTACGATGAACAATGGGGTAGACTCATTTGCCAGTCGGGTTTCGATTTCATCCATCAGTGTTTTTGATTTCTCGCAACACTCTAATGAGCTCACATTGATACGACTTGGAGGGATGGTTTTACCACGAGTAGTCAGCCGAAGGCGAAGTTTTGCACGAACCAGCATGTGATCAGAGCCACCTCTGTTGTCCGTTTCGGCACCGCGATACGATCTACAGTCTTCTACTGATGACATTCAGCGTAACCGTATCAAGATATAGTCGACCTGGTGGGCTGTTATACTGTCGTTGGAGTACCAGGTAAGAAAATACTTCCTGGGGTGCTGAAAACATATGTTGTTTACAAATAACCGGTTGAAATCGAAGAAATTAATTTGCCTGTCACTGTTTTAGCAGCGATGGTCAAATCCAAATTTCCCAATTCTATGTTCAGTTGAAGGTTCTTGTCTACTTCTTCGAGCATTCCAGTCTCCCGTCACAATAAGTACATCTCTCTTGGGGATGCGATTTACCACCTGCTGAAGACTATCGTAGAACTCGTCCTTCGCTACGCTGTCGGATGGTAGAGTGATGGCGTGAGGTTAGTAGGATTAAATATGAAGCGTGCTACAGCGATCCTTGACGATATTGGTTCCCAAGAAAATAGGCCAGCGTTAGCGAGCTAGCTCAGCGCTAACGCCGCAAATGTCTCAAGTTGGCAAATGCCAATCGAGCCTTTTGTATGCGCGCCGACACT